AAAGCACGACCAGAGGCGCCGAGCGATGTTTATCGTTGACTCGAGCGGCGTAAAGTTTATTTATAATCCGCGGCTGTAACGACTCCGATGCGTTTTAGAGGGGTGAAGGGGGGGGAGGCTAAGAGGCTAAACCTAATAAACTACGTATCGATATATGTTCAATTTCCCAATTTGCCAAACGAGCAGACGGTTCACCTGATGTTAAGTGAATACCGCCGCCCATGGACATCTGCTACAACCGAGGGTTGCAGATGCAAAATCAAAGTCAAAATGCCTTACTTTCACTTTAAGCCGGTCTTCTGTGAGATAAAGAGAAACATAATAATTTAAACACTCATTTTCCCATGGTCCTTGATGGTCCTTTGCGCACGCAAAAAATTCAAAGAAACAAAACCGGCACCAATGAGTTCCGAACTACGACCTGATAATGCCGGCGGACGTCTCTCCAATCGCTAAATCACAGCTGCAACACAAATTATTACGGTGTTGGCACATTCGTACTGCAGCACAATTTTAAGCGAGCTGCACGATAAAGAGAATGTGAAAATAATTCAACTGCCCGCATATTTTGAAAGCTTACGAAATGAAAATACCATTTCGTTAGCCAAAACTTTTAATGCTATTGTAAAATTCCCAGTTAAATGGCAACCGGAATGGTTAATGACACATAATGAAGCGTTTCCTTCAAACTTCGAATACCCGAAAGAACGTTAGACTCTTTTATAATTCCCCCTGATTGATACGTTTAAGAGAGAGCGCTTTTACTTAATGGGCCGTTAAATTTGTCACTGTTATTTTATTGGGTAACTGGTACGACAATTTGTCATGACGCGTACACTTTGCCCATGGAACCATTCCACGTTTTGTTTCTTTAAAATATACGTTCCTATTTTTATAAAGCCTTGATTGTTGTCGCGGCGAACAAATATTAATGTCTGTTTAGCATCCAACTCCATATAAGAGTAATGAGCGTACTTTATAAGAAAAATCGAAAATGCTAAGTGACTTGCTTTCTTAAGGACTTTCTGTATCTCTCCCTATTCGTAATAAATGCTATTTTTTATTCTGTTAGCACATGTGCTATCACCTGATGTAAATTGAATAAATCTCCTTCACTTTCTCAACACCAACAACAGTGTAATAATCGACAAACAAATAAAACACAAAAATATCGGTACCTTTTCTTGACTACTTTTCACGAAACGAGGCGCGCCGTTTAAGAAACGCCAAAATCTTACCACATCATATCATAAAAGTGTAATTAGGATAATATTGTTTTCATTTCGTGTGTATAGTTTGAGTCCATAATAAATGAGATAATCCGACGTGAATAAATATTAGAAACTCATCAATATAGAATCATAACTTATTCATCCAAACATCTGCAACATACAAGACACGAATCAACTTGACATGCGTGACGATAATGGCAACGCTTGCTTAATTACGAAGGGATTATAAATTATATGAATGTATTGAATGAATATAAATCCGTAGTATCTGCTTAATCGACGATACTCGAATGGTGATTTTAAACATTATTCATGCAAGGCACATTTTGATAGTTTCAAAAGTTTTACATGTCAAAAAATGAATATCATAAAAACGATTTTATTCCATATAACAATAAGCGTCAGATATTTTAGGAGAAGAATATTTCATAATAGCTTTTGAGTACGCGTCCAAAATATATGCAGAATTAAATTATATAATTAAAGTCCAAATATTATAATTCGCTAATACGATATTTCGCCTTGTACTGAGTTGCAGCCTCTATAATGCGTGTCTATCTTCATCGTACTGTTATAAAATCTAATATAGCCATAAAATGTAAATGTTCACTTCCTTTCACTAGCGGAAGATGCAAAGCGTCTATACGTTTGTAAACATCGTAGTGCTGTAAGCATTTGTGTAAATACTTGTAAAGAATCGCTTTTAGAAATTTTATGTAACTATTGTGCGAAGAGCGGTAACACGATTTGGTAGAGAGGTTCTTGTGTAGCGTGAAAAACTATAGTGTCTTTGACACCACGTATGGGCAATTAGTGGTGATTTGAAGAACTTTAATGTTTTTGCTGGATATAGTTCGTATAGAATTGTTCACGATTGTACAAAATTTATAAGTATGTACACATATTTTGTACAGTCTTCAACAACGAAGGTTTCCGCACTAAGAGCTTTCAGTTTAGCAAGTTCCCGTTTTATCTGATCGAATTAATTAGTGCGAGGCGCTACTGCGGCCTCCGCTAAGTCGACGAAGCCAGACTGGTTTTGTTTTGTAATTGGTTCGTTCATATTCACGGTAAAAGTTATTTCATATCCTTTCTGCGGTAGGGATGGGCCCTACCTTGGCAAGATATGAGTAATATTGAACTGCGCTTTAGAACGCAAGCTTCCTTTTTTTTTCGTCGGAGGCACGCTGTTAACGAGTGTACCTAATCGTTGCATTATCTAGTACCCGTACATTCGAGTACATTCCGGCAACAGTCCGTTGCGTTTTGACCACGGTTACGGCATTGCGCGGGCGCTCGTGTCGCAATTGCGTAGAAGCGTAGCTCTGCGCAGAATAGACGCCCCGATACGATAGAGGCAACAAACGCGCAGAATTATCGACGCGACAACAATGATGTATCAATTCTTTTGTGCGTTTCAATCCCAGTTGGTTACGAGCGGCAACGGGGATTGTGTAATGCATACGGCACACGCTTAAGTTATGTAATCCCTATTTTGTCGCCGTACGTATTTATGGACACGACCTTTTCGTATATTGTTCTGTGTAGACGGAGCTATCGATGATGTCAATTGTGTTATTAAACCATTTCTATATCTTATAACCTACATTTATTAGTTGTGTATATAAATATACAACAGACCAAGTGATTCATTGATGAGGAATTAATTGAATGAATTCGTAGTTTACCAGACAGATTTTTTTTATTTTAAATTGTTTCAATGTTGTCATACATAATTTTACTATTACAAGGATTTAATACTTTATCTCTGAAGGTTCGTATCGCATGTATAATTTATTTTACTAACATCTACACATGTTCGGATTAAACTTATGCGTAAACTAGGAAATAGGATGACTTTTAATTGATGCGTAAACATGTACACAATAAATAAACTTTTTTTTAATTCAATAATTCAAAATTATGCGAGAGTCATAACGCTAAGTTGTAGACAAATGAAGTAAAAGCGCGCCATCAAATGATCGCTTTAACAATTCTCTTTGATAATGACGAACTTTTTATTACATTTTAACATGCCTGTTCCGGATAGAGGTAATGCCTTGTTTGAATTGTTTTGGGTAGGAAAATTAGATTAGGTATTTTAAAAGTATTGCCAAAATACTTTTGCGCCAATGTATCTGTTTATTTCTTACTTCTTTTTACGTTAGTTACGAGAATGTACCGTAAAATACTTATTCCATATATTATATATAAAAAATGTTATAATAGCTCGGTCGGTAATCGGGCGGCCCCGAAACAGAAGGCCGTGGTTCGTGTCACTATCATTTACATACTTCTTTTTTTACTTTTTTTTTCGATTCCAGATCATTGCTTTCTTTATTTTTTTATATCTAGATGGTTTTGTTCTTTTTTCCCTTTTTTTTAAAGTTCTTTTGTGAAAAACACCAGTTCATATTTTCTTATTATTACGTCGGTAAGATAGAAAAATATTAAGCATATTTCATTACTCAGTAATTTGTATCTAAATGTAATTTCCAAAATACACGATTTACCAAAAAAAAACAAACAATGTTCGGTTCTCCAGGTATTATATGTATATATATATATGGACAATCACATCACTAGGCGATACTCTCAATGAAAGGCATATTTAAAATAAAAAAAATAAAGTATTTTTTACGTCCCAATGCCTCCTCTCTACAAAGGGTATTAGGGCATAGAACACCACGCGATACCACAGCATTTTGGCAGAATCCTTCGAAATACTTTTATGATATTTTTCGATCACCGCTGAGCAACGTGATAAATCAGCAAGTAAGAATTTAATTGGTGCCGCTCAGGTATTTAAACTCCGTATTAAATTTAAAACGAGAGCTCTCATATAAAGCTATCACGGTACAGTAAATCCATATTTAAATTTAAATGAATCATTATGTATTCGCCCTTTATTATACTATCGTGCGTGCCGAGTTAAAAATCGTTAATAATGAATCATGAATAATATCAATAAAGCTGTTAAAAATATGTATAATATCAATAATGCTTGTTTATTGTCGATCGCAGAGAGAACGGGTTTAGAGAAGTACGTCTTGTAGATCACTTCGATCCCTCTGCCCTAAGACTCGTGGCCATGACCGAGTTGCTCCTCACAAAACGCGCCTGACACTAGCTTCAAACCCTGCAGCTATGGGACGCACCTACACTGGCAACGTTCAAACTCATTTGGCTGGCTGCATACACCGTAGGCGTCGACTAATCAGAAACCGTTCCATAATACATAAACCGAAACATAATCCAACAATTAATTCTGTCCTTTCCACTTTGACGATTCCAATTAAAAAAGTCATAATTACGAAATAGCAACCGAAAGCATTTCTTACTTATATTACGCTAATATTTCCATAATTAAATAATTGGAGTTACGCGTGCATCTCATTTTTTTACGTTTTACGTCACAGAACATTTTATTCGCCGACATCGCTCGCCCCAAAACCGTTCACTGATGCGATATTAATGAGATTCTATTTAAAAAAAAAAAGAATGGCGGGAAGAAAATGGCGGGCTAATTGGAATTTCGGGCGCGCGACTCCGCTTTCCCGGCGAGTGGAAAACGACCCGGCTCAATCGCGCTTCGGCCACCGTAGCGATCGCACGTGGGCCACGACGCAACAGAGCGCTCCGACACAGTCGTATACATCGACGCGTTCTTACTGCGTACCTGTGCGTTCACTTCGATAGCGGTAAATGCAAGCAGCTTCAATGGACGGTTGTATTGTTAAAGTGCAATTCTCCCGGTGACTTTCCACGATGACTTTGGATAGGGGTGACAGTTTCTGTGGCAAGATCCAGCCTGCCACTTCCGTTTCGTGCCTGTCACAATGCCAGAACCTATTCGGGAAACGGCTCAAGCGATGGGGCTCTACTGGCTCCTGGGTAAGGATTTGTTGTTTTGGCGTGTTGTTCTATTTGTTTCCAGCGGTACAATGTATATAAGATATATGTATAAATTGCTTGGTGATGAGTTTCTGTTGACTAATAATTTTTAAAGTTGCACATTTAACAGTCGTTTAAGACCTTAGATTATTCGTTTTGTGTTTTATCAAGGATATTCGCATTATAACTCTTTTTGGCTGATAATGCATTTGTGATGTTTTATCATTAACTTACGTTAAAACAAGTGCGACATATAGAAAAAGCCTATCACAGATTTCCACCGAGATCATTGAAAACAAGGTCGATGTTTTGTCAATAGCTGATTCCTTTCTAAATAATTATCTATTCACTAACAATTTCTTTTATGAAAGTTACTTGCATCTTGGATTTATTTGCGTGTCGGTTAATTATGCGTATAAACTAATTGCATATATGCATATAAACTATTTAATGTTGCTTTTTATTCTACATTTTCTACATTTAGATCTTTAATCAGTATTAGCTAGATTTTTCAATCTCTTAAATTATGCTCACGCTACAAAAAAATTAGTGAGATTGTAACGTCTTAACGTCAAGTAATATTGGAAGTCGTTGCCTATTTTTATATTCTTTGTTTTACACATTTATTTATATCTTATAAATCTTTGCTTTCATTATATTCTTGTATTCTTAATGTTGTAAATCATTCTTCACTTCGAAACTTCTTTAAATAGTGCACTGACCGAGACAATCCTCATTGGCCATCCATGAAAATGTTTTTTAAAAACGACATTTTAAATAATGTTATAACTATTACCTCTTGTACTTTCTTCGCGTGTTAAGGTCAAACCAAATAGCTCGTCTCACCTAAACATAGACGCGGTCCCGCAAGGGAAGCCGTACGAGAGGGTGGAAATTGCCTCGGATGGCGGTCCCGCGTCGTGTCCGTGTCGTCGCCGTGTCGTGGCGCTGTCCCCCCGCGTGACAGTCGCGTGACAACCCCCTCCACACCCCTTTCGCCCCCTATCCCGCACAGGAAACTGATTTGTTGAACGGTTACCGAGCACGCACACTATCTTCGTATCTACGCACATTCCTAAGCCCTTATTGCGTTTCGAATTCACGCGTGTCACCGGAGAATTCGTTTTGGTTCTTCCCATTTCGATATAACCTATATTCCGTTTTATTAGTTGTTTTTTTTAAAATATCGTTTTACCGAAATTTATTGCTACGTGTTTTAGAAGCTTTAAACTTATTTGGTTTATACATCTCTACATATATACAAAAAGCTCCCACGAAACACCCCGCAAAATTTTATATACTTATTTAGTTTTCTTCATACACTTGTATTCAAACTATTTAATCTAATAAATATGTCTTTACATCGTAAAAAAGTAAAATTAATTTCCTATGGGAAAATTTTAATATCCTCAATGGTGTCAAAAAGTTTAATGTTATGCAAAGATTATAACTCGTAATTCAAAAATATCGTCAGCACCTATAAAAGTAGATATTAAAGTATCCTTTGTAAGTATCCTACCTTTAATGTAGCAGACGCGAAGTCATTCTAAAATAATTCTTCAATGAAAACTATGACAGAATTAAAAGGTAACTTAAACTTAACTCGTCGCTGTAAAAATTTTTCCACAACTTAACGAAGTACGCCGATAAAGTTTTAATATCCGATACAGGTATCGGTCGACCACAATTACTTCCGATATTGAAAGGCTGTCGATCACTTAAAATGGCCATATCGAAAGATTTCGTTTACGACCGAGTTCGCGGCTCGTTAATAAGCTATACGATTGTGAAGTGCTTGGACTGTTTGCAATCTGGTATGGAATCGGTTACCTTTAATGAACTCCAACATATTCATTCGCTGTATGGACATTCTTATTATAGAAATACATCTCCGCGTCTATGTATATTGTCCATTGTGTTAGTTTCTCACGATTTTTGATTATACATTCATGGCTTTTTGTTTTAACGTTTCAGTGTAATATAATTACATATTAGACCAGCTTTGGTAACTAATGCAATTGCAGAGCACGATAATCTTTAATTTAATGCTTTAAGGTCACACGGTGTTACCCTCTAATGAGTTTTTCGTAATATTTCGGATACGGTCAGATCGTTCACGATAAGGGGCGCGCTAAAAGTCTTTCAAAACTAAATTCCACGAATGGCTTTTGTGTATTTCTGTAATTATGCTGGTAACAAGTCGGAGTTGCGTATTCTTTTTAGTTCGACTCATCGGTAACCTTACGAATGGAAATGTGACGTATATGTATATGTAGACTCAACTAGTATGACTTATGAGTTATATATAGTATAATAATATCTAAAAGAATCAACCGGAATAAGCCTGTATGGACTGTCTTGATACGAAAATGTAAAGTGTATCGTTACAGTGGATGCCGTCTGTTGCAAAGTAACTCGCGCGATCTGCAAGCGGCGTTGCATGCAAAAATTGTGAACGCGCGGGGCTAACGCTCGCTGGATGTCAACGGGTCCAGACATTGGACCCCGCCCGAGGCCGGGAAACTGGTATACGTCGAACTGGTTCCCAGCTGGCGGGCTGTTCGGCGAGTAGCCGCGCCCGCGTCGACCTATCGGACTTAGATTCCCGATCGCACACCTTGTGCCTTACGCCCGGTTCCTATATTCAACGGGCGGCCGTTAGTTACACAGTTTCGTAAGTTTCATAACGACTTGTAGATTCAAGGAACGCTAGTAACTCACTTTTCGTAGGTTATGCAACGGCTCGTAAGGAAAACGCCTCGTTTTGTTAATATAGGAACCGGGCGTACATGCCTATCTACCAGTCGTTATGAAAGTTACGAAGCTATGTAACTGACGGCCGTTCGTTGAATATTGGACCCGGGTAATAGTCGCCTCGCTTCGCAACGTCCGTCATATTCTTACGGCCGCCAAAAACGGCCGTACCGCGCATTCATCGTCCGCGTGTAAAACAATCGCGCCCGGCTAGTTGCGTTTCGCGTCACGTACCAGATCGCGCCAAGGACTCGCTCCTTGTGTACCGCATCGCGTCTATTAATATTTTATATTAGGCGATCTTCGATTGATCGCGGGAAGTGAGCATGCGTGACGGACTTCTCGTAATTAATGTATCCTTAATCCTTGATACCTATCCCTATAAAATTATAACGATAAATAAATTAATATTTTAGGACCAATTTCTACACAACATTCTCTAGTCCCAAACTAAGCAACGCTTGTACTATGGGTACTAGATAACTGATAATCATACTTAAACATATTTTTATTTTGTAAATTTTACGCGTGGCCCTACCACTGTAAACTTTACGGTGGTAGGGCCACGCAGCAGCCTCGGCTGTTACACGAATGGGCAGGCTCGTCCGGGTAAGTACCACGACCTCACAGAAGAACGGCCTAAGGTGGAAGTATAATACTTTCGCGTTTCGTCTGGTGAGTGAGGTAGCCGAAGCCCAATTTCCATAACGGTTGGCAACAGTTGTTGATGCAGATGCAAAACCTCGGGTGTAGCAGATGTCCACATCGTAGTATAGTATTCACTTAACATCAGGGGAACCATCTGCTCATTTGGCAACTTTTAACATTAAAAAAATGCTATATATATAAACACTTAGACACTAGAAAAACGCTACGTTCATCACAAATATTTTTCCAGTAGTGGGGATCGACCTTTCTGGCGCAGGAGGCAGGTACACTACCCGCTACGCCATTCGGGTCGTCAAATCCTACACGTACGACATAAAGATGTATGCAGAACTTTTGGCGTTATCAGAAACAAAACATAATGAACAGCGTATAAAATATAAATCATTATTAGTTCTGGATCGATATTCGATTAGGTATAAGCAAGTTATTTCTCGCGAAATCTCGCTAATTGCTTTATTTAAAACTACGCCTCGTGGCGAAATTAATATGCGCTATTTTTAACTCGCGCTGCAAGCCCGTTAATGCTAACCGCGACCGTTGTATAAACTCGCCTACGCTCTGCGGAGAGTAATATTTCAAGGGATTGTTAGATAATTTATTATTAAGGCGCTTTCATCATTTTTGGTTCGTGTATGTTTCCCTTAATTTTAAAATATGTTTTGCCTGTCTTTGATTGTTCAAAAAACAAGGTTCTTCATCAAGCTGTCATCCTGGTTCGGTTATGTAAAATGTGAAGACTAGCTAGTTACTAGACTTCTCATAACTAGCTTCTCATAATCCAACGCTTATAAAATAAGAATTTAAATATGTAAAAAAGAATTTAAATTTAAAAAGAATTTAAATGTGTAACATATGAAGTGAAATAGATTATTACAAAAATTTCACAAGTCTGGTAGGGCCACGCATTATTCGCTGTTGCACGAATGGGCAGGTAGACCAGGAGATTACCACGACCTTAAAGTTTAGCTAACGCACGCATGAGCACATGCGTGGCCCTAACCACTGTGATGGGCCTCAAACCTGTGGGTTCTGGCTTGTCCACCGGTTCTGCGTTCAATGAAGCTTTAATAGTCTCGGGACTGAAAGTGTAACATAAGTTAATACAAGATACGACCTAAAAGAAGACTGGCGTTGAAGTGGAAGTGCTATACTTCTTTTTGTGAGGTAACCAAAGTCCACTTTAAAAAAGGCGCATCTGCAACCCTACTACGGATGTGTCTAATGTCCATGGGCGGCGGCTATCACTTAACGTCAAATGAATCGCAAAACGCTTAGCACCTTCTCACATAAAAAAGAAGCAACAAATTTATTTCTTAACACGTTTCCATTGGCTAGACAATTGTGTGCACAAATCTATGAATGCATTGACTTTTATATAAAAAATTTTCAACTTCAATGCTTAAGTTTTGAAAGCATTCGCTATAGATTGCAACAACAATGTGTACTTTTTGCCCAACGAACGGTATAATGAATGCTCCACGAATACATACATATCAGTGAAAGTAATAACTGATGTACACTAGAGCCGTGTAGACAGACAATGGCGAAGATTTTCGTAGTTGTGCCGACACGAGTCGCGCTGTCGATTTCGCTCGAAGCGTTTAGTACGGAGCTCGCCTTTTTTATGCGAAAAATTATCAAACGAGCGTATGCGTTGAAAAATCGCCGACGGCACAGTGTCAGGGTCAAAACGCCAATTTGTCAACGCACAACGGGAGATTGTTATCGCAACGGCGCTATGGGAAAGTCTTTTCAAAAAGATACCGCGATGCTCTGTCGTTTTTGTATTTGATTATAACGCCCATTACTTTTAAACTCGTTCTCACTTAATCGTGCCGAGGACGAAACGACTAAAGTATGAGTAAGTCTTTTGTAATTTATTATTGATTTAAAATAGTACAACACAACTGGACAAAAGATGAAGGACATGTGTAAATGTTAACAGAACATTTACTTAAAATGTAATTTTTACATTAAGATTATAGTACGTATAAATAAAACTGTGGGTAAATACTACGACGATGTTTTAACACGCCATGACACGGAACCGATTAGAGCGGTGTTAATTGTTTTTAACGTGATTAGAAATAACACCCATAAAAATTGGGCAAACAATCTATCTCCTTGCTGCAATAGCAACTCTAGTTGTTGTCACAGCAAATAGACGAATATTTGCGCAACGTCTCGGAATTCGGTTTGTTTGAACAGCTTTAACCGGTAAGGGGTGAAGTTAGTCAATTTATTTGGGATCCTACTCGGGAATGCGCGCAAACAGATTGGGTCGATGGTCAATAAAGAAATGTTATGATGGCGCCCTACATGTCGAAGCTCGAAAATCGTCTCAAAAAGTAAATATTTTAAAGCTGTAGCTTAATTGAATCGTGTTTGAGTCTGCATTATTCATTTCAGTCTATCATTCCGTCAAAATTATAGCGAAATTAGTAAATTAAGTAGCAGTAAAAATATATATAAACTTTTATTGTGTGCAATTACGAAACATTGCTACCGTTTTGATATGCAAAAAATAATTGAGCCAAATTTTGACTTTG